GAGAGGAACAAATGTAATAAAAATCAGGATGTTGCACGAGTTTGGTCAATACCTGTATGTTCAAATTTCAAACTATTATTATTATGGACACTTTAACAAAGCTAACGGTTCTCTTGCCAAATAGCATTTTTATAGAATGTTTCGGGCAAGTTTACAGATAAGAACTAATAATAATAATAATAATAATAATAATAATAATATGCATTGCCAATCACAGATGGTGAAATGCTATATGTTCCAGTCATTTAGTAGGCTGCAATTTGAACAAATTGAACTGTAGGAGCAAACCTGCACCATGGGGAGGGGCGGGCGGAGNACACTGCCCACTCTGATTGCAACCAGGTGATGCCGGCAATCTGTTCTGGATCCTCAACTTCAATGGATGTCCCCTGAGATTAATCTTTTGAGATAACCTCAACACAGAGCGGCAAGTGTGGTTAGATGGATGCTGTATGTCAAGATTCGGTCCCGCAGAATTTGTTTCATGAAGTATCACACAGTTTTCTGAATGGGTTCTCCGGATTTCAGTGCGGTATAGTTGACTCAACGACACATGATAGGAAGACTGGACACGGATCCTTGCAGAACCCCTCGGACAGAGGCTATTGGTTCAAATAATGAATCACAAACACGAACTGACATTTGTCCTTGTCGAATAAATCCCCCCTCTCATTAGTTTTATGCCAAAAGGATCAGTAGGTAGTGGTAACGATACGGATCTCAAAATCGCACCACAAACTGTTGAGCGAAAAAAAATTTAGCTTAATATTTTATTGAACTATCACGCATTGATTTTGTCTTGTACCGGTGGCCAGAGTAGTCCGGTGTTTCTCCTTCAAGTATCACGCATATTGACTTTGTTCTTCAAAAAACACGATTGTAAACCGATTCCGAAATTCGACCACTAGTTACTGTTCACGATTAGCCTATTCATGATCACAGGTTGCATGAAACACTCCGTATTTTTTTAATGGTTATAATAATTGAGTTTTTTTAATCACCAATTACTTATCCGACATACAATTAAGCGTATTCGATCAAAACATACGTACCACACGAGTTTAGTACATGATTTACTTCCTTGTTTTTGTTAAATTTTTTGATGAATTTATTTAACTTCTCCAAATTTTTTTTCGCCTCCCTCCCCCGTCGTCCTCGGACTCGGATTGGTTTGCACTTGTTTGTGCTCGCTTTCAGGCGAGCATCGACGGTCCGGCGGTCACGATCATCGACATCGAGGTAGTCATCGCCACTCGTCCGAATCCCATCCGCACACATTTAGTGACTCGTTCAGCTCGCACAGCGAAGGAGGCGGCGGTGGTGGTGGGGGTGCAGGCGGTGGTGGTGGTGGGTTCGGCGAGGGTGGAGCGCACGGACATTCGTCCTCGTTTGGCGGGGGTGGTGGACACGACGCTCACGGTGGTGGTGCCGCAGCACACG